AATGCTATTTAAGTGATACTGGCATCCCAAGCCAGTGGAATATATCCTTCTGCTTTATTTTTCCACATTCCATGGAAAGGTTTTTAAGAGTTAGGATGAGGGGCCATTTGCATTCCTGTCAGATAGTTTGCTTTTATCTGGTACAAACTTCATGGTTGCTAGTGTACTTGCAATTTACTAACCAAAAACACCAAATTAAATTTCCAGATTATTGCATTTATTTGGGAAAATGCTTTGTTGCTGAAGAAGGGGAGGGACAACCTGAAAAGGTTCCAATTAGAATCCAAATCTTTTGTGGGGCTAACAGGGCTTAACTTGTCCATTTGGATGTAGGCATGTTAAGGGTGGTTTCTAATTTTGGAAAGAGAGGGAGAAAAAAATTATGGGACGAGAGAATGGAAAGATAAGGCAAAGGAAATGAAATATATTCCTTCGTTTTGGTGATCTATTGAAAGTTTGGATTTTGGCACTGTGTTGTCTCTCCCGAGTTACTTTGCCTGCCCGTTCTGGTATTGTTTTGCCCCTGCTAGTGACCTAGATTAGCTAGAGCATGGTTAAGCATTCTGTGCGCAGACAGTTGGTGCTTAATAGAAGTGAACTCCCAAGGGCTCACTGTTTGGTTAACACCTGAAGGGTTAGTGCCTCTTCCTGCTGAGGGCGTGTTCATCATATGCTTAGGGATGAGATCCCAGCAAACAACAAGCATGATGATGATGATGATGATGGTGGTGGTGATGATGAAGGTGCTGATTGCAGCCCTTCAGTGTTAGTGGGAGGACAATTCTGGGCAAGTTTTCCCACAGAGTAAGCCTCTGCTTTCTAAGTGACTTTCTTTTCTTTTGAGTAATTCATGGGCTAACTTGAAGATATGCAGGGCAACAATAAAAAATTGTATTCCCATCAGCACAGGAGGATTATCGATCAAGAGTTAGAAGAGAACTTAGAGGTTATCTAGTCCAACCTCCTCATTTTAGAGAGGAAGAAATTGAGGCCCAAGGAGATTGAGTGATTTGCTTGAAAGTAAGCCTGGGCAGGATTTGAACTCGAATCCTTAGCCTCTTCATACTCTTTCCATAACATCTTGCTGCTTCCCTTTGTACATACTTCAAAAGGTCTGTAATTTCATCATTAAGCTATCTCCTAATGCAGACTGTAGCCCTTCCTAGGCTTTGTAGAGGGTTTCATGAGCTGCGGTGGTGGGAACAAAGTTCATCACAGTCTGGTCCACCCTTCTGGTGATGAATCACACTGTATTTAACTAGACCAGCCATTAGAAGAACCTTCATCAGGTCTGTGGTCTGAGCCTTTCAAGCTTGGCTGGACCTGACAGAGTTTGAACTTAGCTGGCCCAGCCTTCAAGAGCCAAGGGTTACTTACATGACTGGAGGAAGTAACACATGAAGGTTTTAAGTGAAGTTCCTTCATGGTTGCTTTGTACTTAATGAGACACTTAAACGTTGAATTGAAAATTATCATGAATTTCGACTGAGAGTAATAAATCTGTTCCAACTTGTTGACCTGAATAGCTTTTGGCTTAAGGGAATGTGCTATTTATAGCCATAGCCTTAGAATGGCACTGATTTACATGCACAAACCAAACAAAGCTATTAAAAACTTAGATTCTCAGGTTATGTATCATGAACCTTTCTCTCCCACTGCCATGATTAGCCCCCATTTTTGAAATCTTTAAATAGCCTCTTTGTTATCTGCCATGGTATTCTTAGGCAAAATGATTAAAAAAAAACCCACTTGATTTTGTCAGCTGGGACCTTTCATATATCAGTGAGTTTTGTGGGTTTTAAAGTGATAAGGTGAGGTTGGATACTAGAATTGGACCCTGTTTTTTGAAGGGTGCATGGGCAATAGGGAGCTCCATCTTCCTTTCCCCCCAAATCAACACATTGTTAACGGGAAATTAATTGACAATAATCTTTAAAAAAACATTTCTCAAATTTCTCTAAAAAAAACAGTTCTCAACTCCACAACCTTGAGAAACCAAGGATTTTTTTTTTAACCATTCATTTGGCACTTACCTACCTTGTTAACTTTGTGTGGTTGCTTATCTTCTTATGAGTTATGCCCTGGGTCCCCAACTAGGTTACATAATCCTCAACTGTGAGAATTGGTTTTTGGCTGTCTTTGTATCTCCTCTGCAAAACAGTTACTTAATAAATGTGAACTGATGATGCTGATAAAGGTGAATTCAACTTTCCTGTTCACTTAAGATTCATGACAATTTCCCCAGGGTCAAAATATATGGAGATATTGGTGGAATTTTCTTTTTTCTCTGCTGATATCAAAAGGAGTTATGCAGAGGTCAGGGAAATGAAAAAATTATTTTGGTATTCGGTGCCAGTTTGGGCCTTTCTATGGCCACATCTTCTCGGAGAGAAGCCTAAAGAGGCAGAGAATTGGGTGATAGGTATGTGATGAATAGAGCTAACTAAGGAGATGCTGGAAATATTTTTCACATGGGGCATATTATTTGTCATCAGCAAAATAATACCTTTAAACAAATCAAATTCTAAAATACTTCTAAAATTTAAGACTATTTTTAAAATGTGGTTTTCATGATTTAAAGGGACCCAGTGAGAGAGCCCAGAATGGTAGGCAGATATCTTTCTAAAGAGTGCACTGGTGAATCTAACTACTGGATTCTTTTGACAGAGTACTGAAAAATAATCATCCTTGTTGCATTGTACTTTTATGATTCTTATGTGAATAATGCAAACTATTAGTTGACAGACTTGATACTCCTTAGGGAAGCAACTTGAAATAAAAATAATATTCCCTTTAAAAAAATCTCTCTTCATTCAATGTTTCTTCAAATTTATAATCCACATCAACTCTAAGTGGTTACATTCTAATACTTAATCACTTGAAATGGAACATTTACTGCATTGTACATATATTCTTGTAATGTGCTGTCTTTCACCTTAGATCATCACCTCTGGATAAAATGAATCCAACCACCCAAGATGTGGTCATAATCACCTTAGGATTCATGAACACTCCAGTATTCTGAGAAAGTTGTCATGGGACCATTTCCAAATACATTTCAATATGCATTTCTTGGAGTAGCATCCAACAGAACAGCAGTATCTTTACTTCTCTACCTTTTTACATCCCCTTTTAGGAAGGAGGGCGAAACACTTAACAGGTTTAGTTAAGTGATTCACATTTGAAGAGTATGTCATTAGCAGAGGCTATGTGGGGGTGGGCTATATCAGAATGATCCTAGATGTTGGAATGTAGTTCTGGAAATAACCTCTATGCCATCCTTTGCAAATAAATGACTCTGCTTTTTTTTGGGTGCATGGTAAATATCTTAGTCAAAATGTGTAATTATAGTTCGCCATACAACTTCAGTGAAGGGTTAATTTTATTAGGCAGAAGGTAATTAATTCTAGCCAATCACATCCCTTCTTATCATCAGCTAGCTTTCATGCCTCATTCCAAAGAATTATCCATTGAATCTATGGATGGGAACTCCCAGCTATTATGTTTGTGACAAATGTTAGGTTCAATTGTATCGGAGCCTGTATAATTCCTGAATTACCTACTGGGCAGTGTGTTTGCTTTGTCCAGAAGATTACTTGGATGACTTTTAAAAGGAGATGGTGTTTTCTAAATGATTCTTATGTATGGACGTGAGTCAATAACTGAAGTGAATTTTCATAGGCATTGTTTTGACCCCAAACACACTCATCACATCTTCCTTACCATGAAAACCGGTGCTCATCTTCTCTTCAAGATAGAGTTGACCATGTATTTGGTCATACTTCTGAAACAAAGAATTTTTAAGATGTGCTCAAATTCACTTCAATGATTGGCTCACCCTCATAGCAAAGAGGAACCAGGATCTATTAGGATGAGAATCGGAAGGGCGTACCCATCTGGGCAGGTGTTTGTTGCAAGGAGAGAGAAACTGGAGTCTTCAAAAGAGGAAGGGCCTATTAAGGACAGTGACCTACTCTATGCATTCACTATGCAACGTGACAGGATTGCTACTTTTACTACCATCTATAAAAGAAATAGAAGCAAACAAACCACAGCATCTGGCTCTAATTCCCTACTCTGATGCTTATGCCTACATACAGAATATGCCAATGTATCACAGGAAGAGTGGAAGATAAATTCATAAGTGACATCATAGCCAAAGAGAAAGAAACGGAATAGAGCTAAGACTATGTACTTGGAACAATATTATTTCTCAGAGCTTAATGAAAAAATCAAAATAACTTTTCATAGTTCAGAATACTCCCCTCCCCCCAACAGTGGTAACAATGATGACATAGTTTTACATCACTGCTAAGTATTGTGCAGTCTTGTCCTTCAACAGCCTGTGTCACACGAGAACCCTCAAAGTCTGGGCACAGGTCGACGGTCTTGTGGACACTGGCAAAAAGTGAGTTGTTTCCCCATGCCCCTTTCTTCTCCTCCCAACTCCCAGTTTACAAGACGCCAAATGAAATGTGATGCAAACAAGCTCTAGATACAACAATAACCCATTAAGAATTGACTATATATGAAAAAAGAGAATCATTGGAGGCCATATATATATATATTTGTCAGTTGTTCTCAAGACAGAAATATCCAAATTCTAAGGGCTCCTAAAATATAGAAAATGGGCCCTGTTGCCATGGGTATTTAGAACAACTCCAAACACACACAAAAATAAAGACAGGTATTACTGACAGATTTTAACCAATGTGGAAACTCTAAAAGCATTTTCTTCTCATTGTTTTGTTTGGATACAGAAGGAGAGACAGATCTGTGAACGAATATTGAAAAATTCTCATTTTTAAACACCTTTTTGTTTTCCAGTCCCAAGGATTTTGTCTGTCCCTTGCTTCCCCGAGTTGTGCTGATCTTTTGAAGATGTGCTCAAGAGTCCGAAGCAGAGTGCTTTCCCCCTTCTTTGAGGTCCCCCTTGTGCCCTCTTCCCTGCATACCCCCACTTTCCTTCCCTCTCCCCTCCCCCCTGCCCCACTGCCAAGCCCTAGCTCTCTCCCTCAGATAAGCCACTCTTTTTTGCTCTCATCAATGGTCTCCGTGAAGTTTGGGTCGTGGTTCATGATGGCGGCATCGGCGCTCTCAGCAGATTCTGCTCCCTTGGCTTCGTTGGTGTGGTAGGTGCCCTTGTGACGGAACATGTAGCGAATGAGGAACACTAAGGTGCAGAGGATGGTGAAGATCACCACGGCAATGACCCCTGTTAGAAAGAGGAGTGGTATCAAAGGTTACATGAACCTAAACATTCTCTACTACCTCTGGCCCCTCCATCTTCCCTGTTGCAATTCCTCCCCACTCAACCTCAAAAAAGAAAAGAAAAACAATTGTTATAGGATCATAGATTTAGAGCTAGAAAGAACCTTAGAGTTCATGGAGTCCAACCTCCTCACATTACAAAAAAACAAAACAAAACAAAACAACTGAGGCCTAAAGACAGGGAGTGACTTGCTCATGGTTATACAGGTAGTAAGAGGCAGACCTGAGATTTGACCCAGACTCCCAAGTCAGTACTCTTTCTTCTGCATACCTTACCTTCTAGTTGGATTTTATTTTGTGCAAAGAGAGCCATAGGCAACATTGTTTGATACGGTTGAAACATCACCCATAAAATATTATAATCTCAATCATGTTTTCATATAAATTTCTCACAGAGTTTCTACCTCTTAATTAGGAAAAAAATTGCTGATAATGCAGAAGTTAATTGGCTAAAAACCAGGGTGATAATATTGATCCAGCTAAACATCCTCAGAGAACGGAATAATCTTTATAGGAAGGGTTTGGGGGAGAATTATTCCTACTGGTATGATAATAATCATAATAGCTTGGATTTATATAGCCCTTTAAGGTTTGCCAAGTGCTTTATGAATCATGTTTTGTTTTATCCTCACCACAATCCCAGCAGGTAGCTGCTATTTATTATGCCAATTTTAGAAATGGGGAAACTGAGTCAGATACAGGTTAAGTGACTTGCCCAGGTCACACAGCTAATAAGTATCTGAGACCAAATTGGAACTCAGGGCTTCTTGACTCTAAGCTCAGTGGTCTATCCACTGTACCACCTAACTGCCTCAATACAAGGCAATTAAATGACTTCATAAGGGCATCTTTAATCTATATGTGACTTCCTCTTTAGATACCCTGGGAAAGCTGATGAACTGAAATGGAGGAAAACTTGGTTTTCTGGGACGGAGGATGAGAGGGGCCTGACAGCAAGTAATTGGATGTGGGAAACTGACTCAAGAGAATCAAACTGACCTGCAAGTCAAAAGCAGAAAATAATTGTTTTAGGGCTGGCTTATTTGAAGCTTCTGGATGTCTGCTGTTAAACCAGTGTATTTGAAAGTTGTAAAATTTTCCATTGCAATAACTCTTGTAATGCATATGCTTCCCCATTGTGTGCCACCTAAAGGAGAGTCACTCCCGAAGAGCCAGAATAGGTCTATACATGCTACTGTTCATGTTTTCTCCTCATCTGTGGATACATTCCATACTACTTTAGGGTTGGCTCAAAATTTTTAACCTACTTCTCACCCCTTATACAGATCAAAAAGGAATGAAACCATCATTCTACATTGGTCAACCAGTGAAACGTATTACGTATGTTGAGAACTGGTTGACTGAATTCGGTAGATTGGTTTTAAAGGATTGTCCAAAGCTCAGAAAGGTTAAGAGACTTGCCTATAGTCACACAGCTGGAAAGTGTCAGAATTGGGATTCAGATGCATGTCTTCCTGACTCCAAGTGAAGCATCATGTTCACTACTCTATTCTGCTTCTCTAATTGTTGAGGGGATGGTGTGTAAGATGGTCCAACATGTTATACCTACCTCCAATAATTGCCGAATTTCTGTTAACTCCATCTCTTATAGCTTGTCCTGCATTATATGGAAAGTCAGCACTGGCTGGAAAAGGAAAAAAAAAAGACAAATTCAAGTTTAAACATAACCTGGGAAGAAAAATCTGCCAAACAGTCTCATAATTAGCACCAAGTACTTTGTGACACAGATTTCTTTGTACAACTGGTCTCAGCCTTCCTTTCTAATCTTCCCTTCTCCTACTTGCCGACATGACCACGGTGTACCTGCATCAAAGAAGACACAACGCTCTGTGTGCAAAGCAGAATTGCAGTAGCTCAAAAGAAACATGAGATGCACGACCTTGGAGACATCTCCACTCCAAATATTCACATGGACTGTTTGTGCCCAACCTGTAGTAGAGCCTTTCAAGCTCATGTTGGTTTGGTCAGCCACAGATGGACACACTATATCTTGACCTTAACATCATGAAGCCATTTTGGTCCTCTTTGAGAGTGAAGGACCACAACCAACCAACGGGGTACCTATGTTCCAGGTATGGGAATAGCTTCTACTATTCCTAAACTATATCACAGTCATTCTTACCCTTGTACTTTTGCTCAGCTTGCTCCCCTGGACCCTCTATAGTCTGCCTTTTTTTTTGGACTCTGGTAATTTAAAACCTACACTTTCTATGTGGTCAAGTTTAAGTTTCAGTCTTAAGTCATTTTATTGCAAATTCACCTAGTCCAATATTGATGCCATTGTTGGAATGGAATTTTCCAATGACTATTTCCAAAAAGAAATAATACAAACTCCTTAGTGTGGCAGTTAAGGTCTTCCAAAATCTGGCTCCAACCTACCTTTTTAGGCTTCCTTCACATTATTTCCATTTACATGATTTATGTTTCAGCCTCTATCCTACCTCTGGGTGTATGCAGTCCCTCAGGCCTGGAAAGGACCACCCCCAAAACACTTGTCTTACTTCAAGGTTTAGCTAAGGGGTCATTGCTGATGAAGATATTCACTCCATCATAGAGCACTTGGTCAGTATCTCTTCCTCTGTCCTAGCAAGCTCTTGTATCAACACTTCCCTGTGCGTGTATTTGTCTCTTTCCTTTCCCTCTCCCCTTTATATTGTAATTTCCTTCAAGGTAAAGATAGCTTTTCTTATCTTTGTATCCTAGGCATGTAGTGTAGAGTTTTGCACTAAGTGCTTAATACACTTTTTTTGGGGGTAGTGGTGGTATCATATTTGATCAGTTCTCATTGGAAGCAAGTTCTTTATATTGACCCCTCCAGTCTCTCTGTAACTCCTATAGATTAGATTGTGAGCACCTTGAGGTCAGAAACTGCTTTTTGCCTCTTTTTGTATTTCTGACACTTAACAGTGACTGGGACACAGTAGGGACTTGATAAATGCTTATTGATTGATTGACCACAGGCTTGTCTCCAAAATAACCTAAAACATACCTAGTCGCTTTTCCACGGTACCTTTCTAATATTTGCATGCAACCATCATGTCCTCCAAAATTCATAGGCTTTTAGAATAGAAGAGATGATTGAACATCTAATCTAACCTCCTCATCTTTACAGATGAGGAAAATGAGACCCTGAGAGGTACAGTGGGATGGTCAAAGTCATATAGCTGGTAAATAGAAGAATCTGGAGATTCCAAGTACTTCATGCTTTACACTATCCATGTTGCAACCTCTTCACCAGGCTAACTAGTAATTTCCTTAACCATTCCTCTGACTACTTGGTTTTAGGATCACTCCCTGTATTGGCTGCTTTCTTCTCAATGCTCTCCAATTTGTCAATCTTTTTTTTTTTTCAAAGTGGCATTTAATACTGGACACATTACTTCAGATATTGTCCAACAAACAGTAATTTAGCTCTAAAAAAAGTCTTGGGGCAGCTAGGTGGTACAGTGGATAGAGCACCGGTCCTGGAGTCAGGAGGACCTGAGTTCAAATTCGACCTTGGACATTTGACACTTACTCGTTGTGTGACCCTGGGAAGGCCACTTACACTGATTGCCTCACCAAAAAGAAAGTCTTTTTAACTTCTCTATTTCCAGCCTGGTCCCTGCAGTTATTACTGAAAAGAACAATCCTTATGGAGAAATGCCTGCTATCCCCAACACCACCACCATCAACTGCTGGCCAACTGCTACAGAAGTGTAGATATGTGTAAGAACCCAAGCAATAGCTGGGCCCCCCCAACCACCAGCCTTGCTTCTGTCCTGACTCTTGCAGCCATTATTCAGGGGAGTAATGCTTGTGGAGAAGTTGACCTGCATCCCCGTTACCACCAACTGACACCCAACTGTCACCAACAGGTCAGGCAAGTCATTCAGGCTAGAGTATCAAAGTGCCCTGAGAGATGGGGGACAGAAAGGAAGTGGAGGAAAAGGAAGAAATGTAATGGGTAGAACAGGTAGAATTTGACCCAGTTCAAGAAAGAAAACACAATTACAACAGTGAAGCTTATGAGGAAAATAAGCATCGTCCCAGAAGGAGTGTCTAGGGTCAACCTCTTAATGGGGGTCAGTGAAGACTCATTATAATAATGGCTTTTCTATGCCATAGAGAGGGACAAAAAGGATTATAATCATCTTTGCATATTTACTGCTAGTTACTGTTTCTGTTGTAATATTCAGCTACAGTTGTGTTTAAAAAAGTTAAGAGAAAAGTCAGTAATACAAAATGCTGACTTTGCAATTTGTAATCAGTGTGAGAAAATAGTTTCACATTTTTAATTATTTCCTTATGGTAAAGAAATCCCCAAGCATTTTTGCTAGACCTTGAACTTTTTTGTTTTAATGTATATATGCAATAGCTTACACTGGAGTTTGAGTTTTAATTGACTAAATGTACATGAGCAATCATAATGTTTATAAATGAAAATTCTGTACTGAAAAGAAAAGGCCAGGCAGGTCAAACTATTGCTACCACCTTGACTCCTACTTTTCCTCAGATTCATGTGGAGGTAGCCTAGGACTATAAACTCAAGAGTTGTGGAAATAATATTGCTCATCCCACCTACTCACTCTTCCTCTTTCTAAAGAGATCCCCAGAGAACAACATAGAGGTGCAGGGTAATCCTTGAAGTGAAGGGGCTCCACCATTCCTACTACCACAGGTCACCAACCAGCTGCTAACAATGGGCAGTAAATCCAAGCACCCCAGGTTAGTAGTGTCCTCCCAGACCACCAGCCCTACTTCTGGCCCATATCCTGCAGCCATCATCTGGGGAAGCAATCCTTGTGGAAACGTAACCAGGCAACTGCCTCTGCAGGTGGTAGCTATAGCTACTGAAGACCAAGAAAGAATCTTCTCACCCCTGAAGTCCTTGAGAACTGTTAAACAGTTCAACAACAAAGATGGAGACAGTTTTTTATCAATGAACATGACTCTGAGGATATTGGTCAGTATTATTATCTGCTTTGCCTTTGTAACCTAAGTCCATGAAACCTTTCCACCTAATTTGCAGTTAAAACCTTTTATATCCACATAGTGTCTAATAAATGTTCATTCATTCATTCATTCATTCATTCATTCATTCATTCCACCTCCTGACTGCAGACATGATAAGTGAAGGATTAAAATAAACCTTGTATAATTAGTTATCAAGTTACCAATCAACCAACAGGCATTTATTAAGCACCTAATGTATACCAGACACTGTGTTAGACAAGGGATATAAACACTAAAGTAAAATAGTTCCTGACTTCAAGGAGCTTTCAGAAAGGAAGACATATACCTACACAAGTATATATGAAATTTTTACCAAATATATACAAGATGACATATTTTGGGGGGAGTGGAAAAACATTAGTAGATAGAGAATCAAGAAAGTCTTTATGTAGAAAATAGACCTTGAGCTAAACCATGAAGAAAACTGGCTTCTTCCTCTTTCTCATATAAGGCAGTCCATTTCCTACCTGTGTATCTTTGCACTGGCTGCCCTCAATGTTCATGCTCCTTCCTGTGTATGAAGATAGACCAGAGCCTGTTAGGCTGCTGTGAACTATGGGGACTTGTGTTCTAGGTGTTAGAACTTAACATTGATTAAGATCAGTCCTGACCCAAATCTAGAGACCTCAGCCTTTAGGAAGAAGCACAGAATGTCCAGTTTCTGGTAGCCACGTTTTTACCAATTTGAGAAAGGAATAGTGGACTATACTCTAAAATTTCACCTCAATAATTTAGGCTTCAGATAATATTTGTACATGAGTTGTTTCCCATTTTTGGTATGGACACCATCTTACCACAAAAGGTAACATACGAGAGAGCATTTGCTCTTAAATGGTCTGGAAGACCATCAAGCCTCCTAAATACCAGTCTTCTAGTGCCAATGAGAATTTTAGAGAAGAAAAATTTTTTCCTTAAAATTTTTTCCCACAATTTATAGTGACATTTTGCTTAAATTATTAATTAATTTGTTAAGCTTAGATGTTAATTTTATTTCATTTTAGTTGCTTTAGGAAATTAAACTTTTAACTTTCTGAGACATAGTCTGGCCTTCCATTGGCTTTGCATTCCCTGCAGGAGTGTCCAAACATCCCGGCAATAAGAACCATTTAATCCCGTGCCATTCCTACATAATACTAGATGTATTGTCTTCTGCTATTTAGTGCCCAGACAGCCTAATTATCATGATTTTCATTTTTTATATCATTCATGTACATGTTATTTTTCCTAGGGAAACAAATGGAAGTTCCTAGGGATTGGTCTGTTTTTGTCTTAGTATTCCCAGGATTTACCAGTTACTGGTACATGTGTCATAGGATCATAGATGGAAATCAGAGGCTGTCTGGTCTAATCCCATTTTACAAATAGGGAAAATGAGGTTTAGGGAAGTGAAGTTACTTGCCCAAGGTCACAAGGCAGTAAGTAACAGAGGAAGGATTTGAACTGAGATCCTCAGATTCCAGAAACAGTGTTCTATGTCAAGGTGCTTGCATAGTAGGAGATGAATATTTACTGATCAGTTCTAGCCCGTGTAATATTCCCTTAAAAAGCCTTGCAGTTTCCCATTTCGGTACCTTTGCTCACATCTGGAATAACCTCTCCTGTCTCCATATCACCCAATCAAATCTCAAC